CTTCGTGCAGCAGGACCCCACTTCTTTTTCTTTCCATCTTTGTGGTTTTTCTTCCTCTTTCTAAAACTGCTGCGTAGGTTTCCATTTCACAGCAGCGTGATTATATTTGGGTAGATGACGAGACCTACCCAAACAGGGGCTTTTCCTTCCACAGCTCCCCTGCCTGGGATATGCAGCTGGAATCCTGATGTCTGCACGGGAGGCTGGGCTGGGGGGAGCAGGATGGGACCTCTTCCAGCCAGGCTCCCCCAGGACCCTCCCTCCACCTCACCCTGCCCTTCAGCCCCTTCGCTCTGTGCAAAGACCCAGAGGGAAGCAAACGAGGAGCCAGGTAAAAATAAAGAAGCAGAAGTCTGAGGTCTGTGTGGTAACAGGGGTGACCGCACCGGCTGCGGCACCACCTCCTTCCTGGGGCACCACAGAGTCACTGGGGCCGGGGAGGGGACAGAAGTCATGTCTCCAATTGGACACCGACCTCCCCTCCCTCCTCATGTGCTCCTTATTACTGAGCACAAGAACCGTGGAGGATGAGAAGGGGCTGCCAAGGCATCGCATCCCCTGGTTCCCTGCAGCTTGGACCGGGCATTTAACCCCTGATTGGGGGATATTTTAAACACATCCCAAATCTTCCAATCTCATCTCATTTAATAACCTCATGGCAGGGTGGGGGTAAACAGCACTGCTGGCCTGGTGGCATACGCATCCCGCTGCGGGACTCCGTGGCACACTACGGTCCCTGGCCTCGTACGGTATGGAGGGGACAGGGGTTGCTCCTGCGGGATACAGGGAATCTCAATGGGACAGACAGAGCGAGCTCAGGAGGCAGTGGGGAAACAGTGGGAGAGCTGCAGGGGATGCCCGTTCCTGGACACGGGGCTTTCTGGCAGTGAGGGGCCAAGTGCAGAGGTGCTCAGTGTGTGTTCATGTAGATCGGCTACAGTTCTGGAGCTCTGGAAATGGAAACTTCGTCTCCCTTTTCAAAGTCCTGAAATGGGGGAGAAATGTGAAGATTTGGGGCACTTTGCAGATCTGCCTATGCTAGAGCCCTAAAAGTTCGTGTCTACATAATGCCTGTTCCTACAGGGTTTGATAGCTGCTGCCTGGGACGGGCTGTTAAAGGGAAGGGAAAGGCTGGGGTGGGGGAAGGAGTGTGACCCCGAAGCAGGGCAGCTCCTCCTCACTGCACCCCAAAGTGGGGCAGCTCTTCCTCACTGCAGGGCTGGGAGCAAGGAGCACCCATGGGGTAACTTGCTGCGTGCTTGGGGAGCTACCCCAGCCCCTTTACCTGCCACTTGGCCAGGCTGTTCTCATAGTCATCCTCGGGCGAGCTGAGCTCCCACTCCCTGTTCGTGTAGATGTTATTGGAAGCAGCTGCTTGCTCCCAGCTTGCAGTGACCTGGAGGGGATGAGGTGTGTTGAGGACAAGGAGGGCTCCAGGCAGTGGTTCCCTCATGGTGTAGCCATCACAAGACTCCCGTCCAACTACCTTCCCACGCACGGTACCTGGAGGTCCTTGTCCCTCTTCCTTTCCACAGCTGAGGCTGCTGGGGGAACAGCAAAAGAAATGGATCACACCAATATGAAGCTCCTTTTGCTGAACGGGAGCATTTTGGGGGGTCCCAAGCCCTTCCACATGGGTGTCCTATCAGTTCCTGTGCAACCTCAGGTCTGGACTGACTTTGCCAAGAGCCCCCCAGACTGTGAGGCTCGGAGGGTTGGGGTCCTGGGAAGGGCTCCAACTCCTTTCACCCCAAGCACTGCTCACCCCTGGAACGGGAGAGGGAGGGCAATGTGCAGTGCGCTGGGGTGGGGGGAAGGGTGCTGGGGAGCAGTGCGGGGACCCCTGCAGCCACCCTGCAGAGGAGACCCACATCTTGGCCCCCCAGATCACTTGTACCTCTGCTCCTCTCCGGCGATGCTCTTCTCATCTTGCAGCAGATGATGCTGCCCAAAACCAACACCAGCACAGTGGAGGGTGTCAGGACCAGGACAAGCAGGTTTGGGGTGCTAGGAGGAGAGAAAAGGTGTTACTGCCCTTCTACACTGCCCCCTCTGCAGCCCTGTGCCCTGGGGAGGGCTTTCGTCCCTGTATTTAGCACCACCCCAGAGGGGCATGAGACTCTGTGGGCTGGCAAGGATGTTCCAAGGATTTCTCCCAGGTTTCCTGGCCAGGGATCCATGCATGTGTACACACAAAGTCTGTCCAACTCGACATCAGCCAGCTGCATAGATTCATCCCCCTCCTCCATGGACAAGTGCCCAGATGCAGCACACGCCTGCCTGGGCTGTCGGGGTCCCCAGCAGCCCTGTGGGAGCTGGGCAAAGACCCTGGGAGCCCCAACCAGCGCAGTCCTATGGCATGCAGGGATACAGCAGCCCCCTTAGCATCGTATTTTGCTTTCTCCAGATACACCCCGCTGGCCCCAAAGCCCTTTAGGCAGGCTGGAGATGGATGCTGCATCCTTGGTCTGCCTTGTCCTTGTGCTGGGGACTGTCCCTCTCCTCCCTGGTGGCCCTGGCACTCACCCACCCTGCAGGCTTCTGACTTTCAGTGTGGACATGGTGTTTTCCAGCTCCAGGAGAGTCCATGGGAAGGTGGGAGCAGATGTGGCCTTTTCCCCCTGGGTCGTGTGGAGGTCATAGTGTGTTGTCTGGGGCACCGTGGTGTAAACAGATGGGAAGCAAAGTGCCGTGATGAATGTTACCTGGTCCTGGGCTGTGGCTGAGGTTGGTGACTGGGGGCTTTGGGGGCCCAGAGGCTGCTGGCCGGGAGGTGATGGGGGGTGGCTGGGAAATGCCAAGCATGGTCCCAGGGGACCCGTGTGCACTGTGGGAGCAAGGTGGGGGATCACCAAAGGCAGCTGAGAGGGGGATTTCTTCCATCCCCGGCTCTCCCCATCCTCCCTCCCAAGCCTCCCCTCTCTCTATTCCCTCTGCCCCTCCAGCCTCCATCAAAGCAGAATGGCACGCCAGGCACTTACCTGGGAGAACAGACACCATGACGGGGAACATAGGGTCATACCAGACTACCTGGATCCCACACTAGTACTGATCCCTATCCTCCACTGTCAGGTTCTCCATGGTCACCACAAACACATGCTGAGTGGGGTCATCTTGCAGGGAGACCTTGTGCCCCCACGCCTTGTCCCCGGGGGCCGTGGTCTGAACGAGGATGGAGCAGGAAAACCAGCTGCTGCCCCTGCACCAGTACTTATTGGCATCCACCAGCTCTGGCTTCTACTCGCAGGGTACCTCCACAGAGCCCCCCAGGAAGCCGTTCACCTCCGCGGGGCCCCGCAGAGCCCAGCATCCTGCAGGGACAGAGACCGTGCCAGCCTTTGGGCAAGCACAAGCCCATGCACAAGCTAAAAAAAAACCTGCCACATCAGCCGCTTCGTGCTGCCCCCAGAAAACCTCTCCCATAGAGAGCAGGGCTGCAGCCCAGGGGTCCTGCCCTGAGGAGGGCTGCCAGGAGCTATGCAGGAGTGGGCACTGGAGACGCACTGGGTTTGAGGTGGGGGGAGGCTGTGTGGGGCCAGGGACTGAGGAGGGAGGGAGGGCATGGAGGGAACTGCCCAGTCTCTCTTTGCCTCCCGGTGCCTGGAAACCCACTCTGCTTCTGCCAGCAGGCTCTTCTGAGAAGAGCTGCCCCTCCAGCCCTGGGCAGGGCAGTCCCCCTCTAGGCTCTCCCCGGGGTCAGGTTTAAAAGAAAGGAAGAAATGCCAAATATCCCCCTGCTCTGCAGCCCCCTGGGGAGCTTCACCTCTGCCCTCCCCCAAAGCCAAACCCCCCTGGGATGCTGCTGCCCACCCCAAAACATTCGGGTTTCTGTTAAAGCCATCTCTGCCAGCAAGCACGAGTTAGCAAGCCTGCCCTGCCCGCTGTTTTCATGGCATGGCAGGGTCACAGGATTTGCAGGCTCCCTGCAGCCTCCTGTGGTATGTTTTTAGGGATCCGTGAGTTGGAAAAGCTTGCCAACCTCTGCGTGGGATTGAAATAATCAGCACTTGGCAGAGGGGAAAATAAGGAAGAAATATAACTCTGAGGCATTTCCATCACTGCTGAATGAGGACGTGGATTTTGGAAGGTTGGCACAGCCCCAGTGAGCCCTTACCCGCTCCCATGAACAAGACAAGATCCTGCCCTCACCTGGGAGGAGAATCCAGACCAGGAGCCTTTCCCCCAACCCACTCACCAGGTGGCTGCAGGCTCAGCCCTCGTTCCCCGGAGTTACATGTCCGCAGCAGCAGCCATGCCAGCTGCCAGCCGCCCTCGAAGGAGCCCTTCACTGCCACGGTGCCACTCCTCGGCTTCCTGCCCCGGCTCCACTTCCCCCAGGGTGCGGATGCCGCCTCGCTTCTCTACCTCAGGGCAGCATGAACAGCTACTCCTCTGTGCCAGGGAGACCGGCACCAACCACGTCTTTCTGAACTCGCTCAGCCCAAGTCGTAACTTTGCCCTTGCCAGCAGCTCCGGCGGCCGGGGAACTGAGAAGGGGGTCAGAAGCAGGGGGATGGCTTAGGCAAAGACCTCGAGAGGCTAAAGTCAGCTTTCACTTTCTGTTTAAGAGTTTCAGGGCTGACGAAAAATTAAGTTCAGCTTTTCAAAGGGGAAAACCTGATGCTGAAGAGGAGAAATATGCTGAGGATGGCCAAACCACTACAGAGCCAGTGGCCCGTGCTCTGCTCCCACTGGTACCCGTGTGCTGGGCTGCTCTGGGCTACGTGCATGAGGAGCAGCAGCTGGAGGAGCTGGGGTTTAGTTTCCGTCTGCCCCGGAGTCTGTGTTGCCTGGAACCAGCCCTAGTGTGACCGGGAGCATGGACGCTGGGGTGGGAGAGCCGCTCCCCAGCAAGGTGTCACGCACTGGCTCTCCGGGTGATGGTGTACTGCTGATGGTACACGAGAGCTGCTAACATAGAGCAGTGCTGAGCTGCGGGATATGGCAGAGGACCAAGCTCTTCGAAACACAAACAAGAAGGTGTCAACCCACCTGGGAACCTGTCAGGCAGGAGAGGCAGACACCAAGTTACCCTGCAAGGGCTTTTCCTTGCAGGGCAGAGAAATGCAGGAGATGCTCAGGCATCCCTGCCACTGCCTGGCAAAGGGCAGTGAACCCTTCCCACTGTTCCCTCAGGGCGGGAAGACGATTGGGAGGAGCAGCTCAGAGGTGGAGGCTCCAGCTGGAATGTCCACGGGGGGAGGCACCTACAAAGGCATTTGCTGTCTGAGGATTTCGAGGGCAGCTTGGTTACCCAAAAGTGGCCAGAAGCACTTCAAAGAGCCACTTTAGTAGAGAGGCTGGGGGAATTTTCCAAGCCACATCTGTGCTATTGCCATCAGAGAGAGGTATCATTTCCCCTTCACGTTCTCTGCTTCAGGCTTGGTTTCTGGGCAGGACGAGCAGCTGCCCAGCCCAGGGCAGGGGCTGGGACCCCTGGCACAGACCGGGGCTGGTTCCTCCCCATCACCACAGTCCCCGGGACCATGTTACTCTCCAGAGAGTTCCTGACTCTGATGCAGTGGCTGAAGGCAGGTCTCCGTCCTGTCCACGAGGACACTGCAGGGATTTACAGCTGCCCGGTACCGACGCTGCGACTCCCACTTGGGGTTTTACCCTGATATTTCTCCTTTCAGCTGTGGGGCCCTGGCTGCAGTGGGGATGCTGGCTGGGGGGTGTTGATGAGGGGTTTGCAAAGGGAATGGCTGCGGCTCAGCACCTCGGCCTCAAACCACCTGGGCAGCCTGTGGTGCTCCTGGAGGTGAAGAGCAAGATGGGAGCGGGCAGGAGGAAGGAGCCCTGGAGCGCTGATGCGAGCAGTTCTGTCACACAAGGCACTGCAATATTTATCCCAATTGAAGCGAGTGTCAGGTTGAAAGTGATGAAACCAGAAAGGGAGTGGAGCAATTCAGCCAGAAACCAATGCAGCAGAGCATGGTGTGGAGCCACGCTGCCTGGTCCCTTGCAGAAATGGAGAGAGCCCCATGCAGAGCCCCCACGCCAACACCCTCCAGTTGGGGCACAGGCGTGGGTGCTGGGGTGCTGCAGACACCCCACAGGGGAATGAATAAACACAGCCACCTGTGGAGGAGGCTGCAATGAAGGGCAGGGGAAGGCACCGGGCTCTACACCAGCATCTCTGCGGGGCAGCTGTGGCTGGGGAGACGCCCATGGGCAGGGCAAGGGGGCCCTGATGGGGAGATCTGGGTCTTGCTTGCCAGAGCTGGGTCCTGCCCTGCTCTTGAGCCAAGACCTCCTTTCTTTCGGCAGCAAGTGGCTTGCGAAACACAAGGCAAGGCTATTCTGTAAGAGAAGTGTTGCTGAAACACTTCTCAGGAATCCCAGTGATGCATCCTGACAGGAACAAATCAGTTCGTCTTTTCGTCTCAGCCACAGAGGGCTGGAGCAAGCACTCGCATGCGGCTCAGTAGCCATGTCAGCAAGCAAAGCGGCCCTGGCAGCAGCAGAGCAAGCGCTGGCACTGGGAACACAGCAGTGGGAGATTGAGCTGATACCTGTGCTCCTGCAGCCCCTGACCGGCGCCTGCCTGTGGGCAGCATTCCCAGCCCCTGCCCAGCAGCGACAGGACATGGAGTGACACAATCGGACACTGCTTTTGCCCCAGCTCTGGTGAGATTCTGGGTCCAGGTTTAGTCTCTGGCAGTGGCCTTAAAAAAAAAGGCTCAGAACCCTCTTGGGACTGGCAGTAATTGAATCAATCAGTGCATGCACGCCCTCGGTGCATTGCCCAGCACCAACAGATCTTCCCCAGGTCCCATCCCACCTTACTACCCACCGTCACAGCTGAGCCTTTCCTCTGCTCTGGGCTTCAAGGACATTTCCAACTCCTGATTCTGTTATTTAATCTAGGGCCTTTGAAAAATAATCTGATTGTTTCAGACTGTGCTTTCATGAGCAGCTTTGGCAACTTTGGTGAAATTGTCCTTAGGAGATAATATAATAATTGCTAATGCAGCTCCTTTAGTGTTGGCTGATTGAGCACGCACTCTCTGATGTCTCCCTTCCACTGCCATCTCAGATAACCCAGATAAGCCCAGATCATTCCCAGATCTCCTGACTTAGCAAAGCTAGTAAAAGAGAGAAATACTTGCAGACTTTGTGGTGGTGGAGGGTTTACTCTGGGCTGTGCCTTGGGCTGGACTCCTCAGCCAGAAAGGGCTAAGGCAGGGGTTAGTTATTGCAGTGAAATTAAGAAAGCAAAATTCAACAGATTCAGAGGGTGAAATTCTGACTCCTACCTAGCTCACGGGGAAGGAATGACTTCAGCAGGCCTCAGATCTCCCCCCAAAAGTGTTGTACAGGCAGTCCAAGGAGATACTACAGCAGGTTAATGGGGTTGGGTAGCATAGAATGAGCAGGAGCGGGCAAGGAGGACAGTGAAGCAGAAACTCCTGAGCTGGATTTAAATCTTCCACTGTTATAGCTGTACTTCTCAAGGCAAATAATAGACAAGTAATTAAGCTATCAGAGAGACAGTCTAGCAGCAAACAAAACCAAACAATGGAGCTAAGTTGCAGGTTCATTTGAAATCACTCCTGCCATTTGCAGGTCATTTCCTCTGATTTCATTACTCTGCACTGATTTCAGCTGGTCAGCGCTTGCTCAGGGCTATAAACTGCCTGCTGACCCTCTGCTGGGGCCTGGGGGAGGCTAGGAGAGCAAGTGATTTGCTTCGGATGGTGGGGAAAGACATTCATTGGTGTGTGAGGGGAGGAGAGTGATGCAGGTGTCAGGCTGCTGGGCTCTGATAAAGCTGCTGATACCACTTATCTGCAAATGGGTCAGGTCCCCCATAGCCATAAAGCAGTATAAAGTCCTTGGAGCCATGCCAGGCTGTGCTGGTGCCTGTTTTTTGCCAGCAATCTGTGTTGTCTCATTAGGCTGCATTACGATTGGCGATATCATGATAGATAGGAAAACTGTCTTCCTCCTGAGCGCTGTTAAACCTGCACGGCCAAATGTGTCTTTGGTGTAATGCCAGCACCTGCAATAGGAAAGGAGAATGTGGCTTTACAAGGCTTTCCTTCCTCCCAGCCAGGCCCTTGCTCAGTAGCAGCTCCTCGCTGCTTTCCTTTGCAACTCAGAAAAGGGAGACAAATGTTGCTGGAGCTGAGATGGGTCAGAGGATGCCCTCAGAGTCCCACCTGCAGCAGGGACGTGCCAGGAATCGCCCTCCAGAGCTAGGCAGGGCTGGAGTCTTGGACCCGGTGGTGCATGGTGGCTTCCTTTCCTCTTCACTGGGGGTTAAGTTCATCCCACCCTCCAGGAGAGGTTTGTCTGAGCACCAGCACAGCTTGGGTGCCCAGGGTGGAGCTGCATGGTGCCTGTGGCAGATCTGGGTCTTCAGGGTCTGTATGACCCAGCAGGCACCTCGGGTCGGGGCAGTACCCTCACTCTGTGTGGGTGCTGGGGCAGAAGAAGGCTGAGAGCACATTTGAGACACGTTAGCATGAGGTCTCCATCCTCAAGGGGCTGATATGGCACTGGGACATCCATGGAAAGGCTTTTTGCCAATTTCTCAGTGTATTTAAAAGGACAGAGAGTTGCCGTGGCTTCATTGAAGTCACACTGAGGTTTGCTGCTCTTGTCTTCCTGGCCCTACCTGGTGTGGGGTGTGTGCACTATGTTGAACCATGATGCTGGCCTTGCCACTGATAAATTATCCAATCCAGATACTGTGGCTCATGATATCGCTTATTTTTGCGCTGTTGATTGTCTTCCAGTGCTTGAGACCAACAGGTGGTCTGGCTGCAGGATGGTCTGTGTCGGGCCTGGATTTAGCTTCTCGGCCTCGGGCAAGCCTGAAAACCCCCTGCCCCTTTGGGTTGTTTTTCATCTTTTCTGGCTGCTATTGCCAAGACTGATCATCTGACCCGGCAGAACCATGTCTGCTGTCAGAGGAAATAACAGGCAGATATAATTAGCAACGTCAGGCCTAGGCAGTCAAACAGCAATCGGACAGGTGCAGATGGCTCTTGGAAGCATGGTCTGTTCCTCTGGCTTGGGGCCGTCTGCTGATCTGGAAGGAGGGAACTGAAGATTGAATCAAGTCTCTCTTAAATAAACTTCTTGGTAAATATTAATTTCTTTCTGGTCTAATCAACAGCACCAGATTGTTCTAAAAGGAGTTGTAAATAAAAGGATCTCAATGAGATATCAACTGTCACCTCCAGGTTTAGGAACAGATTCCTCCTGTTTCTAAATGCAATTTCTTTTTCACTCCAAGCAGGCTCCTAACTGGGCTCTGTACATGCAGTGGGTTTTCAAAGGGGAGCTGTCGGCTTCGCCAAGCTCAGGTTAGCACCATTTTCATAAAGAAGCTGAAATGGCCTGGCTAGCA